GCCCGAGCGCAGCCTGGCCTCGGCGCTGCCCGGCGCGCTCTCCATCACGGCGCTCTGCACGGCGCTCGCCGAGCCCGCCTGGCTCCGCATCCACGGCGGCACCTGCGCGCGACAGGAGCTCGGCGTGGCCGACGTGCTGGGCGCCGTGGAGCCCGAGCTGCTGCGGGGTGAGCGCGCGCGCGGGCCGCCGGACACCCGGCTCCCCGCTCGCGCCGCCCCGAGCTTGTCCGGTGACTCACGGAGGGCCCGGCAGCCACTTCCCGAAGTGTCCGGAGAGGTGGCGGAACCGGTTGGGACACGGAGTATCGGCTCCCCGTGACCGCCCGCGTTCCCCGAGGATTTCCTGCCCCCCTGGGGCCTTTCCCCCCTCTCTCGGTTGCCGTTTTCCTCTCGAGTTTGGAGGTGCCGCTCCGCGCTCTCCAGAGGGACTTGGCTCCTAAGAGAGGCAGTTAACCCACTCTGTTCCCAAATGCTATGGGAGTAGCGGGCATTCCCTTGGGATCCACCCGCTCCAAAAGCAGATCCAGGGAGTTTAACGCTGCATCTTCATCTCCGTCCTACTCATCTGGCACCACTTGTGGTGTCGGGTTTGGGTGGATGTCGGAGCCCCCGTGACACCCGGGGAGTTTTGAACCGCTTCTTGCTGCTATGTTTTCGTCTTTGCTAGACCTCGTCACCGTTCCGCAGCTCGGACCGTGCTGAAGCGCCCCGTCTGCTTTCTCGCCCTCCCAGATTACTGCATGAACCTGCAGACGGTTCTGCTGCTCCGGGTCATCGCCGCCTTCTGCTTCCTGGGCATCATCTGCAGCCTCTCGGCTTTCCTGCTCGACGTCTTCGGGCCCAAGCACCCCGCGCTCAAGATCACGCGGCGCTACGCGTTCGCGCACATCCTCACCGGTAACGCCCAGCCCCACTTACTTATTTAGCTAAATAACTCGCGTGTTGTGTAAACCGCGCTGGGTGAAAGCCATGTTTTCCCCTCTTTTTTCCATCTGGGATCTGAGTCTAGAATGGGCGCAGGGTGGGAGCTTTATCCCGTAACACAACTTCCTGGGGAGTACGGTGCAGGTCGTGTCTTCCCGCCCGGCCTCGCGAGGGATTTGCTTCCCTGTATCCCTGATAAAACGACCCACGACAGCCCCTGAGCTGCTCAGGAGGTGCCTGAGCCTGCTGGCTCCGCGACACTCCCGCCACCTCCCAGGAAACCCGCCGAAGCGTCTTTAGCTTTGGGTCCTCATGCCTGCCCCTGCTCTGCCCCCGCTCTTCCCCTTTCCTTTGCGGAGAGAACGAGCTTGTCTTTGGCTTATCAATCGGTGTGGGCTGCTAAGGGGCAGCTGCTCCCTTGCCCTGGCCTCGACGCTGTGCTGAGGGCCTGTTCTCACCAGCCGGGGCGCAGGCAGGGGGTGAAGCCACCGCCACTGCTTGCTCTGCTTCTCCTCCTAGCTCTTTTTCTTTATTTCAAGCAATAAAGCGGGTGGAGGCCGGGCTCCCAGGAGGCTCTGGCTGTGTTTTATATTGCCCAGCAGCCTTGTCCGTGCCCGGGGACCCTGCTGCGTGGCAGAGAGATAAACGCGGTTCTTCCTCCTTTGCTCTCTTTGCTGCCCGGGTGCTCATCGTGTTCTGTGCTGCCCAGTCCTGCAGTGCGCCACCGTCATCGGCTTCTGCTACTGGGCCTCGGAGCTGATCCTGGCGCAGCAGCAGCAGCACAAGAAGTACCACGGCTCCCAGGTCTATGTCACCTTCGCCGTGAGCTTCTACCTGGTGGCCGGAGCCGGCGGCGCCTCCATCCTCGCCACGGCCGCCAACCTGCTGCGCCACTACCCCACCGAGGAGGAGGAGCAGGCCCTGGAGCTGCTCTCCGAGATGGAGGAGAACGAGCCCTACCCGGCCGAGTACGAGGTGATCAACCAGTTCCAGCCGCCGCCGGCCTACACGCCGTGACGCTGCCCGCGGGGCACGGTAAGAGCTTCCCGCCAGCTCCGTGGCGTCCGCGCTTGGGGACGTGTGTCCCCAGTCCGCGGCCGGGCCCCTTCACCAGTGCTTCCTTTTCCAGGCATCTTCGTCGCTCTTCCGATCCCTTCCATGCGAAGGAAAGCTTGTTTTGGGATCGGATAACCAGCGGCTCCTTCAGCCGATGCTCTCCGAAGGGCACCTCCTCCTGATAACTCTGTAGTGTGATTTTTAACCTCCCCATCCCCTGCACCCCACCAGGGTTGCCGAAATAACCACGGGCCGGGGCGCGGCGGGAGCGTCCGCCTTTCCGCCAAGCCCGGGTGCTCATTCCCAGCCACGCGAGCGCCGAGGGTGACGTTGCTTCCCCCTGCGCCGCCGGGCGAAGCGAAAGGGAGACGCGTCCCGAGACGTCGTCCAGGAGCAGAAAACCCTCCCGGCGCCCTCCGGCTCCGTTTGCACTTTATTCGTCAGAGCCTCTTTTCCCAGACATCGCTCTTGAAGCCCAGAACGAGGAGGAGGATGAGGAAGGAGCCCCAGTTCCAGCAGGGATCAGCACTCGAATCTCTCCCCTCTGCGGTGCCCGAGCAACCTCACGAGTAAATCCTGTTTCCACCAAAATTAACACGGGACTTTTGCACAGTGGCAACTACTGAAGAAACAGCTGGAGCCTGTGCTGGAAAACGGCGTCTCCAACTATCGCTTTTATGCAAGACCTCCGAGCCGAGCTTGTTTTGCGCTTTTAATCCATTTCCCACCTCGCTCTTTCTCTCTCTTGCTCTTAGTTTCTTACCCTGCTGGTGACAAGGACTGTGGTCCCCTGCGAGCCCTAGGAAGCCACCGGAGGGATGCGGCTCGTGCGCTTCCCACTGCTTCCCGTCGCATCCGTGCGGCTCGCGGCGCGTCCTTGCCCCCCGGCGTGTGCGGCACTGCTGGCTGCGTGCGAGCCAGCCGCTTTCGGGGCGAAAAGCGGGGAAATGCCGTTGCGCGGAGAGCGCCGCTCGCGTCCCGCCTCCGCAGCGGGGCACCTGGGGCCCTGAGGAGCCTTTCCCGAGAGGGGGGCTGCTCTGTAAATAGTCTGTGCATAAACGTATTGTATTTCTGTAAAAAGAAGAGCAAATAGAGACAAAATAGGATGTGGTTTTCCCTGGCCCACTAATCCGCGGGGCAGAACCAGGCGGAAAATCCCTAGAAATCCCAGGGGGCTGGAAGTGGCACCTGCAAAGGCCGGGGAGCCTCTGGGCACTCGGTGCCGTCAAGCCGCCCCAGCCTCCTCCTTTTTGATTTTTTAGGGTAAATAAACCAGCTGTAAATAGCGGTGGTGACGCTTTTGTGTGTCCAGGGGGGCCGTACCCTGCTCGTGGGCGCTGCGGTGTCCCCTGGCTGAGGTGAGCCCTGCAGTGTCACGGTGCCCGGCTGCCCCGTGCCCTACAGCGGCCAGCACCGCGTGCTCTGGTGTGGGTCTGCCCTGTGCTGCCGCCGTCCTCGGCAGTGTCGCCGTCCCCGGCAGTGTCGCCGTCCCCTGCGCTGCCACTGTCCTCGGCTGCGCCGCGGCTGCCGCCGGAATGCGGCGGCACGCCCCGCCCATTCCCGCCGCACGCCCCGCCCATTCCCGCCGCACGCCCCGCCCATTCCCGCCGCACGCCCCGCCCATTCCCACCGCACGCCCCGCCCTCCCCCGGCACGCCCCCTCCCCGCGACACGCCCCGCCCACCAATGCCATCAAGCCCCGCCCCTCGGCGCGCGGCTCCCGGCGCCCTTGCCCCGCGC